CGTAGTAGTAGTAGTAGTCGTAGTAGTAGTAGTAGTAGTAGTAGTAGTAGTAGTAGTAGTAGTAGTAGTAGTAGTAGTAGTAGCACCGGTAGTGATATTATTATAAAAGGTATTAATAGTAATAGTATTAGTATTAGCATTCTTATTATTATTATTATGATTAGTAGTAGTAGTAGTAGTAGTAGTAGTAGTAGTAGTAGTATGAGAATGGTTATTATTAGTACTTATGTTATCAATATTATTAGCATCATTACTATAATTATTACTATCAGTATTTGTATTATTAGTATTATTATTATTATTATTAATATTATTACTATTAATATTATTCGAGTGACTCTGCGGGGACCTTTCCTGGCCCTGGGGCCGCCAGTGCGGGACAGGAGCGGCCAGCATCGCACCAACACATCGCAGTGTGCCTCGAGCTGGGCCGCATCGGCACAGAACTGGAATCCGATCGGAGGGGGCGCCAAGATGCACACCAGCGCCATGCAAGCATCGGAGCATCGGAACTCACTGGATCGTCGGAATACCCAAATCGAGCCGGATCGAGCCCGTCAAACTCGACATGACATTGTTGCCGAACTGTCGCTGCCCGGGGAGTGGGGGGGGGGCCCTGGTAATGGCAACGCTTGGACGGGGTGGGGCACGTCGGGGCGGGGGGGAGCTGCGATCGCCACAATTTGCGCGCGAGCACCAGCATACGGGGAGGGGTCAAGCCCCCCCCAACGTACGATCGTCACCATTACCGGGGGGGGAGGAAGAGGAGGAGGAGGAGGAGGAGGGAGGAGGGGAGAGGGAGGAGGAGAGAGGAGGAGGAGAGGAGGAGAGAGGAGGAGGAGGAGGAGGAGGAGGAGGAGGAGAGGAGGAGGAGGGAGGGAGGAGGAGGAGGAGGAGGAGGAGGAGGAGGAGGAGGAGGAGGAGGAGGAGGAGGAGGGGGGAGGAAAACTTAACGACCGACACGCGCCAGGACGTGAAAAAGCAGTCTCCCTCGAGCCGGATCGATCGGATCGAGGTGGGCCCTGGTCCAGGGCGGCCCGAAAACTGGCCGTGGAGGCTTCCCAGGCGCAGGACGGCGCGGGACGTCCCCACCGCTCCGCCTCCCCGCCCGCGAGACGAGGTCAAGGCCCGTCCATCCCCTCGGGGAGCTGCCGGTCGACGACTGCGAGAGGTGCGGCCTGCTGTCAAGGGCGGGGCTTGCTCAACCCGCACCCTGGGAGGCAAACGCTCGTCCTTCCCCTCCCCCCTCGCTCGGGCACGCGCTCGTCCTTCACCCCCCCGTGGATGGGCGGGAGGGGTCCAGAAGCCAGCCTTACCAAGGATCCATAGGATGGAGACGATAGACGTTTCCTCCTCTCACGGGAGGAGAGTATCGTGAGTCACCCTATGACGTCAACACCTGGGCCGCAAGGGCAGCGGATCAGGAGAGGAGGTACTGGCGGCGAGCTTGGGGGGGAACTGAAAGGGAGCGGGCCTTCCCAGAAGGCTCGTACGGCCTCCGGCCTTCTGAGAGGCTTCTGAGCCTTACCCGAAGACACAGAAACTCCTCAGAAGACGCGAGGGCTTCTGAGCAGTCGCGCCGCCTTCTGAAAAAGGCCTTTTCCCTCTGACTTGCCCCCTGGCCCCGCCGCCGAAGACAGGAAAGAGCAGGCAATGCCACTCGCACACGCCCTCCCAGCCACAGCGCGAGCGACGGGCCTCGCTCATCGAGGTGTCCTCCGCGGCGCACCAGCCGGGCGGGGGGCAACGACCACTGTCACGACGGCGACGAGGACGAATGACGACAAAGACGGCAACAATAAAGACGACGACCACGACGACGACGACGACGACGACGACGACGACGACGACGACGACGACGACGACGACGACGAGCGCACACGACCGCAGACGACCGCAGACGACTGCAGACGACAGGCGACGACGGCGGACGACGGAGGACGACGAGTGATGACGCGTTGCGTCGCCGAGGGAGGAGGGGGTAGGACTCCGCCATCGGCCAACACAGCCGGGCTCTCGCACGAAGGAGCGGGGCCCCGCACGAGCGGCGAGCGTGTCCATGTCCACGCCCTCGCGGCCTGGATTCCCGGGCGTGCTCCCGCGGATGCGCGGTCGCACGGGTGCGCTGCGCGCGGGGCCTCCGCGAAGAAAACGCCCCGTATCCGCGCCGCCAGGCCTTCGACCCCAACTCCTCCTCCTCCTTTTTTCTGCTCTCCTCCCCTCCTCCTCCTCCTCCTCCTCCTCCTCGTCCTCCTCCTCGTCCTCATATGATCCTCATCCTTCTCCTCCTCGTCCTCCTCCTGCTCCTCCGCGACCTCCTCCTCCTCTAGAGCCTTCGAGGAGAGAACGCGGCCCCCCGCGGCTGCCCAGGCGCTGCCCTGCAGTCACAGCAGAGCTAGATCGCTGCGCCTGCTTCCTCGGATCGATCGAATCCGACCCCGGCAGTGCAGGTGAGGACGGGGGATGAAAGGAGGAGGAGGAGGAGATAAGGAGGGTAAATGAACCCATGATCGACGACCTGTTGGCGACGAAGGCGCGAGGCCCGTCGGGAAAAGGGGCTGGCCGCTGCCGCTGCCGCCGCCGATGCCGCATCGAAGCCACCAGCACGCAGAGTCGCGTGGACCCCTCCCTCCGCCGCCTGCTCCTCCATTCGACGAGCGCGCTGTACTACTCGCAGAGTGACTACTCGCAATTGGCCTGGATCCGCCGCGAGGGATCTGCGAGAAATGAGGTCGAAACAGACATGGTGTTTCGGACGTTTGCGAGTAGGCACTTTGCGAGTAGTGGAACGCGCTCGGTGATCCATTCCTTTTCCTCATAAAGGAATATTCCCTGTCGCACTCCGAAGGTGGTCGAAAGGACGGGCTGGGCGGTTCGTCTGAGACTTCCTCACCATTTAAGACCCTGAAGCTCAAAGATAGGCAACAGTTTCACAGATGGAGGGCGCGCCGTCTTCAAAATGTGGCTCTCGCCTTAGCGCCGCGCACATTCGTTTTAAAAACTAACAAGAGCTTCACGGATTGATTCCCATCAACAGCCTCCTGCCAGTCCCTACTGGCGCTCGTCACACACGATCACACTCACCATCGACTTCCACTCATCAGGACGACGGCGACGACGACGACGACGACGACGGACGACGACGACGACGACGGCGACGAAGACGACGACGACGACGACGACGACGACGACGATGACGACGACGACGACGACGCCCTGCCGCGCCGCGCCGCGCCACCGGCGAAGGCGCGCGCGCGCGCGGCGCTCCTTGTGGAACTTGGCCCGGAGGACGGTGCTCAGGCCTCGGGGCGGGGGGGCCACGGGCGGCCGCGCCTCCGGGATGAAGTCGGGCCTCGTCCCCCCTACAGGGGGGATTTTGGAAGACAGATACAGAATAGTCAAAAAATATCCCACAATCACAAACAAAAAATCTCAAAAACATGAAAACTAATAAGAAATAGTCAAAACAAATATCCCCAAAATGGCCCCCCATAAATGCTCAAAAAACTGTCCCCTGACGACTTTTTTGGCTGTTTTTGGATATTCCTCCTGTAGAGGGACGGGCCCGAATTAAATCTGGGGAGAAGATGGCGGCAGCGGCGGCGGAGCGACATCGGGCGGAGTCGAATCAAATCGAACAACACTCACTGCGAGCTCAGTATTCAGCACTGTCCAAGCTGCAGGGCGCCACTAGAGTGAGAGAAGGACGGCCCCCTCCAGCGGGGGGGGGAGCCCCGAGTTGTCCTCGCTCGACCACGGTTCGTGTGAGCGACCTCCAAAACTAAAACACTGGCCCCGAAGGGCCTTGGAACCAAAAAACCGACGGTCAGAGGCGGGTGTCGTAAGCCGCCAGGTCTTTGAATTGGGAGCTACCGGAAGTAAGGGGGAGAAGGTCTCGAAGGAAGCAGTGAGGCGGCGGCGGTACGGGCGGTACGCTTGGGGACAAAGGCAGCAACACGGGTGGCCTCACCCGTCCTCGCCGCCGTCGCCCTCTTAGGTCCCGATATGCTCCCCATCTTAGAAGCACGCGCGGCCACCAGGGTAGACGAGCAGGGCACAAGACACAATGTCGCCGATGCGCTCCCCGTCGTAGGAGCACACGCGGTCCCCGACGTAAGCACGGAGGTCGTGGTAGGCAAGGTCACCGATCCACTCCCCGTCATTGGAGCACGCGCGATCGCCGACATGGACAAGGCAGGCGCAGCCGGCAGGGTGACCGATCCACTCCAACTCAGTGGAGCGCCCGCGATCGGCGGCGCGGGTATCTGGCCCGCAGAGGACCACGTCGTCGCCGTGGCCGCCTCCATAAAATGCCTGACTGACTCTTCTGGCCTGTACTGCGGGCGCCCAGCAAGCCGCGCACGATGCCCACATCGCGCACGTCACTGACCAGGATGGCAGATCCAAGCAAACACTATGGCGACTTTGAACCCGAGGTGTTCCCATCCGCGGGGAGCTCCTCGGGACTTGCGCTCTGCCCCCCAGGTGTTCACCGCCACTGGGGCGTCCTCAGGCTCGGCCGCACTGACTCCACACCCCCTCGCGTCGCCAGCACGCCCAAGGCGAACTGCAGCACCACCTCCGCGCTGAACCACGCACTACCAGAGCACCTTCGACGCCTGCGGCTCTGCCAGCGAATGCACCATCGTGGCTACGTCGTCCTTGCTGAAGGGGCCCCAGGACACACAAATAAATACACACAAATAAAAATATTCCCAATATTTTCCCATATTTTCTGGGTTTCTGTCATCCCACCCACTTCCCATATTTTTCCATATTTTCTGGGGAATCGAGGATTGAGTGTGTCTGTGTGTTTCTTTTCCTCCTGACTTGCACGCGCTCGTGATCCTGAACCCTTTTTGACAAGCATGGTGAGGTCGGCGATCGCCTGCATCGTGTCCAAGCGGTGCGGCTGCTCTGCCCAGCCCTTCGCGCTGCGGGCTCCTGCTGCTTCTCCCGCGTCTGCCGCTCTCTGCGCCACCACCGGGAATATCTGCACGCGCGCAAGCCTCATCACCACCTCTGGCAGTGGCTCGCTCTTGTCCTCCTGAGGCTCTGCTCGTGACGTCGCCGCCTCCGTCGCATATGCTCAACCTGCCTGGAATTCCAACTCCGCCGAGACCACCACCTCCTCCGTCGTGATCGTCACGAACTCCACCGCCATCATCATCCCGACGGTGAACGAATGGCCTAGAACCGCTCTCGTGCAATTTGTCCAGCGTGCCCGCTGGAAGACCATATGACCTGCCACTTCCATCTGGATCGCCTGCTCCCCTCCTCCACGGTGTACCGGCTGCTGCTGTCGAACCCCTTCTCCTCCTCCGCCTCGCCTCTGTGGCTCAACACGTCTGGGTAGCTGCGGCCTCTGGCTGACCCTGGGGCCCCCCGCCACGCTGGCGGGAGCCAGAGTAGTCCCTTCTCGATTAGTTTCCTCCTCCGTGCGAACACGATCTCCCCGCGGCCGCCAGCTGCTCCGCCCCCAGGCGGGACATCGTACCCTCGAAGTGTGGAGGGCTTTGGGGTGCGTACGATCGAAGATGAAAGTACAACTCAGCTCGGTCCTGAAACGGGTCCGACCGTCCACAGTACATACCCAGAAGAATTCTCGTAGCCCTGTCCTCCAAAGATCGACTTCACAGTAAGCTCGGCCATAGAGCAAAACAGACTTTCTGGCTCCAGAAGGGGATGCTGCAATGGAGATCATTTCGAAGGGGCCTCGTCCTATTATGACTGCCTGTACCGTGCGTGCCTGTACAATCCTGGTCGTTCGAAACGTCTGCCTGCAGAAGATACACTCTTTCGCCACCGTGGCACCGTCGGTGCACCAAAAACCTACACGCGTGATCACCATCCTGAGGGAACCGCGGATGGGCCAGAAGCGAACGACGAATATTGAAGATCCTCCCACATACTTCTCCATTTGAGTTCTCCAGGTCACACGTCCATATGGCTGCCAGTGGAGGGGGAACATCAAGACCTCCATCGCAAGCCTGAGGAGGTCCAGCAGGGGCACCATCTAGTCCTACGGGTGATGGTGTGGCGACAGTTATTGCAGCCGCCCTCAGAACCCCAGGATCCAGAGCCAGGAACGGTTCACGAAGGTTCCCGTCCAGGAAGAGAGCCCGAACGCACAGCCGAAAATGGGGCTCCTCCGAGGGTCCAGTGAAGAGCCACCCCTCCAGCAACGAGGCCTCGCACTTCTGCAGCAGCGTCAGGATGTCGTACGCGATGCGTTTAGCATGTGGATCGGCATGTTCATGGATCAGTCCTTGATCGCACAACGCAGGGTGACTCTCAATTGGCAACTGTCCGAATATCGCTCCGATCTCCTTCGGGTGGCAAAATGTGCTTCTTATCCACCTCTGGGTTACTGTCTCAGCCTGCGCAATCTGAGTTCAACTCCAGACGGGGCAACACCGAGACGACGAAGAACTTCCTCATGAATTAGAGTACGACATTGAAGGACTGTGGTTTTGAGAGGATCATGCACAGGGTTACCACCTTCATCTCAATCTCCTCTATCTTCTGACATGCGTGTCCCCCAGTAGCTTACGAGGAGGGAGGAGGAATAAGAGGAGGAGGAGGAGGAGGAGGACGAGGAGGAGGAGGAGGAGAAGGAGGAGGGAGGAGGGAGGAGGAAGGAAGGAGGGATGAGAAGGAGGAGAAGAGAGGAGGAGGAGGAGGAGGAGGAGAAGCAGGAGAGAAGAGGAGGAGGGAGGAGGAGGAGGAGGAGGAGGAGGCGGAGGAGAGAGGAGGAGGCAGAGGAGGAGGAGGAAGGAGGAGCCCGCCCTTTCGCCGCGGGCTTACAGCGACTTCTCTGCAGCCCCCTCAACTCGCGCTGGGGCGTCCACGACTCCTCCAGACTTACCTCAGGTAAGTCTGGAGCTTAATTTCGCCATCGCTCTGACGTTCACTCCCCATGCATTATCCGGATACCTGCGTTAATGTTTCGCACGATGATCCAAAATGCTCCCCGATGGTCCTCGCCGAAACAAAAACGCACACGTCCGAGCGATGCCAAATGGCTAGCCCTGGAAACGACCAGGTAATTGCTTTGCCAATTCCGTTTCTCCGTTTCTTTGCCGGTTCTGGCGCCGTGTTTTCCCGATTCCATCGCCGCTTGCTTGCCCGTTCCGGTAACGGCTTCAGAGCCGGAACCATTTTTTGTTAGCGTTTCCGGTCGCCGTTTCTTCACCGCTTCCGCTTTCAAGAGACACGTTTCCGGAAACGGTGAAGAAACGGCCCTGCCGTTTCCGCGGCCAACGAGGGTCTGGAGAAGTGGCATGGACGCTCCAACGTAAGACTCGAGTCTTACCTCATGTAAGTCGTGGGCAAGTCTGGAGAGCCCATCTTTGCGCCCGGCCGCGCCCCCGCCCCTCCCCCCTACCCTGATCACGTCACGATTCGCGCCAGCGCCGTGTGAGAATTGGCCATCCCCCGGCTCTCCCAAACTTCCCTGGCCCGAATCGTGACGTGACTGGCGCCTCCCCCCACATTCCCCCCTCCCACCCCCCGCTCACGCATGTTGTCGCACGGGGGTAGAAAACGGTCTCTGACTTCTGCGGTCCCTCGACTCGCACTGGAGAGTCCACGACTGTTCCAGACTCAGCTGGACACTACCGTTCGCAAGACAAACGCCCACCAGGAGAAGTACCGAGAGGGCCGCCACGACACCCCGCATCTCAAAAGTTGGCGCGAAGTGCTGTGAAATAAACGCTCCTAGGGCCTCTTGAAGGCCTCCTGGGGCCTCATAAGGGGCCTCTTGGAGGCCTCTGGGGCCTCTAAGGGACATCTTGGCCTTCAGAGGCCGTCTTGAGGCCCTCTCGGGGCAGTCGTGGGTCCCTCTGTAGGCGCTTTAAGCTTTAGGGCCGTCCTAAGGGTCTATGAGGCCGCCTTGGGGCCGCCTTGGGGGCCTCTTGTGCCGTCTTAGAGCGCGCGTGGCGGGCCTCTTGCAGCGGCATCTCCGGACTCACCTGGATTTCTAAGTGTGTACCTCGGTCTTGATGGATTTGCCTAGATTTGCAATCGGACCTAGGCCGGAAGAACATCCCTCAAGAACATGAGACCATCAGTCGGCCAAAACGCACAGAGCATCCAAGGGTGCCCTCCCCAGTGTGCACAAGACCATCCAACAAACACGAAGAACATTAGGGTACCCTCCCCGAACCGACCTCGATCTCATAAATCGGTCCGACTGTATCTGGCCTGATCCCCTCCAGTCGATGGGCAACAAATCGTCACATCCCTGCGGTCCTCCGAGCCCTCGACCCCACGGAAGCAGGCAGAAGCACGCACGCACGCA